AAAAAAAAAAGGGTTTTTCGCCTTTAAAAAAATTCCCCTTTCCTAGGGGGGCGGGGGGGGGTTAAAGGGGAAAAAGCCCCGGGGGGGGGGGAAAAAGGGGGGGTGGGGGGGGCCCTTTTTTTTTGGGGGGGAAAAAATTTAAAGTTTTTTTTTTCCCCCCCCCGGGGGGGGGTTTCCGGAAAAAAAAAAAAACCCCTCCCCCCCCCTCCAATTAAAAATTTTTTTTTTTTTTTTTTTCCCCCCCCCCCCCCCCCCCCCCCCCCCCCCACCAACAAAATTAAGTTATTACATTGACCCTAATAATTTGTTAAAAATTAAAATATTGATGGTTTGTTAATTTGAATTGATCAGCTTGCCGTCATATTAAATGTAGGGTGGGAAAGTTTAAAGGCAATTTCTGACATGAAAGATTCAATAAATACTCATGACAACGGACATTTCCCAAATCCCATTTATTATTATTTACCTAAACTTTTTTTTTTTTTTTGGTATATATATATATATGCAAATGGTAAATAAATGTGAGACAAATTAAAAATCAGAAAAGAGTGTAAATAAGGGAGGGACCTCTGGTCTCGAAACATCATTAATTGATTTAGATCAATTGGAGTAGTAGTTCTGTAACAGCATTAACTATTAAAGATATTACGTATACCCCTATATATATGTATATATAATGTAGCACTCATTGCCTAATTAAGTGGCTAAACAAAAAAAAAAGTGAAGTCTGAAAATTAAACATGAATCATTACACAATCTTGCTGTAATAAAGTAAAACCTAAAAGCTGGATTTGCGGGCGAGGCTATATTTGCAAAATTTAGTAATGTAGCATGCACATATATGTAGATTTATTTTCCATGTCTAAATGTTTTTGTCTTGTCCCTATCTTACCCTGCCTACTACTGTACACTACCCCCATTGTTATATCTATATATACACACGTACACTCATGCCACCGTAAAAAAAAAATCACAATTAAAAAAAAAATCATATAGTTATGTAGCTGTTAAATTGTATGAATTAATGTCACGTACAACCAACGGTCACAAATGTTCAAACTATGAATCTATATGCATAAAGACAATATTTACGTTGGCGGACAAAATGAAGTGAAATTGCAAGTGGAGTATACATCTCTTGTGTACCTTAAATGCGCTGTTATAAATTAATTGGTGTAACAACCAGAGGCAGATTCAGTGAAATTAAAAGCATAATAAATAAATTCAATTTTAATAATATTATACAAAGGGGGTGGAGGCCCCTCGAAAGCAACAACATATATGTTAACTAAATTAACCATACAACTGTTTCTTCAACTACACAAAACCTCAGCCATTCCAAATTGTAATTTTGGCTTGTTAATGAATATTGTACAGTACAAATCTTTTGCTACTCTCACTTACGTTTTGCTTCTTTTTTTTATGACTTCATAACAATTTCATTCTTTTATTTTATTTTTTATTTATTTATTTTCCCATTAAATTGTAAATTAAAGCTTCCTATGGATCGGCCCACATAAGTTAGATTGCAATTGCAACACTAAGGTATTTCGGGCTCTCTTTTATGGGCCTATTGATCGGCCCACATAAATTTTGAGCACGTCTTCTTTCAATATCAGTTTTTTTTTTTCAATTAATTAATATGATGATAATAATAATACGTTTTTAATTTAAAATCAAAAATCAAATATCAATCTGTTCATATCATAATCAGAAACCGTCGTCGTTTCGTTTTCTTGTGGTGAGTTGTTTCGTCTCTCTCAAATTTCAATTATCCGTCGTTGTTTGTAAGAACTGGTTTCATCTTTTGTTATACTGTATCATATTCGGAACCCATTTTCCCTTTTTTTTTTTTTTTAATTAATTATTTCTTTACTTCAGCTTCTTTAAACCCCGCCAAAAAAATGCGAAAAAAGTTACTCAATTTCCATGTTTCTCGGTCGATTTCATTTAGTCTGTGTAAATTCTGACAATTTTTTTTTTTTTTTTTTGGTGTGTGTGTGTTTTACAAAGTTAGGGTTTATGGTCTGAAAACAGGGATGGAGGTTAATAAGGGGATAAAATTGGAGGGCACAGAAACAGAGGAATTTGCAAATAACGAAGTAAAATTGAACACTGACCACGAAGGTTGCGCGAGCTGTTTAGAATTACAAGATAAAATTACAGAATTGATGATCGAAAACGAGGTTTTGGATTGCGAGAAGAAAAGCGCCGAAAGGGAGATTGAAGTATGGAAGGCAAAATGTATAGAACTAGAGAAAGCAATAATATGTTCAGAGAAGAGTTCGTTTTCGTCTGCCGAAAATGAAAATAAATCAATCATCGATAAAAATGCTTCAGGTTTTCTCATTACTGATCGGATATTCCTCTGTAATTATTAGGCTTATTACTTATAGCATATTGTTTCTGACGTGTTCGTCGTCTTTAGCAGGAACCCCTCCTACGAACACGCCGTATTATAAGCAGCGTAGTGATGGTGAAGGATTTAAACGAAGCCCTCAAGTTGAATTAAAGCCTAGTGGTCGAATTAGAAGATGCTTGGAATTTTCCAATGAAGGGAGTCCGTGTTATCATAATATTTCTCCACCTACACCGGGTGTGGGGCCCACTGTTGGTCCGATTGACATTAGTGACAGCGACGATGATGATGATGCTCCGAACTCTTCGTGCACTAAGAGAACTCCGTTTGTTAAGAGGAGAAGAGTTGCTTGTATAGTTTCTAGTGATAGCGATGACGACGATATCCCAATTGGTAGACTTGGCAGTAAAAAAAGAATGAAACCGTTGACAGATAGTTCGGATTCAGATACTCTCCCGAAGAAACGACGCTTAGTGAGGGTGGCGGAAAAAATCGCTGGAAGAAGAAAGAACGATTTAGGAAGCCCTGAGATTGATGACGGAGCGAGTGAAGATGAAAAGGAAGAGGATGATTGTGAAGGTGAAAGTTTGGACGGTTTTATTGTAAATAGTGCCTCTGATGTTTCGGAAAGTGATGAATCAGATGAAATGTCTGAAAATGATGACTTGGAAAATGATGAATCGGAAAGTGGTGCGGTGTATGCTGATGTCATTGCTGGATTCCGGAGGGAGAGAAAAGACAAAACGAAGTGGGAATACGAGGCGGATATGCTTGCTGATTTGGCGAAGTCCCCTCGACTTTGCATGAAAGCAGTATGTGCTCTGTTTCGCCAGCAAACATCCGAGGAACAATCTTGCAAAGAAACTATAGTCCGGAATGGACGAGGTTTCAGCCAGATTCACGCATCTACGTCAGTGTCTTTTTCTTTATCTTTCTTTTTTAAATGTGTGTTTCTATGTAGATTTTACGACATTAACATATTATATTGTACTACAACCTTAACAGGGGGAGTCGGTTGGCTGAATTTCTGACAGGTGGAGATACATGGGGTGATGTGAAGAAGACTGAGGAAGAGCTGCAAGAATTCGATTCGAACGGGATTGAACAGTGCAGGAAATTTGCGACTCACTACTCTAAACAGTTGTTTGAAATCTACAAGAACGACGAAGACCCGTTTTTCCATCCTCTAGAGGAAATCTGATTGGCTGTTTTGTAGGACACGAACAAACCCTTTTGTCACTGCCTTCTTCTCGTTTTGACCTTTTCGGTGAGATCTGTAATTATAATCCGCCGTGAGGGCGTTACACGTTTCACATGCTACACCTCTTGAGGATTATTTGTATAGTTTTTTGCGGATGTAAGTACTCAACTCTGGTTTTTCATTATCATTTCGACCAATATGATACGCGTCGATCGTGTCGGGAGTCACAATTGGTGACGGTCTATTACAGTCGACTTTTAGGAGCCTGGGGATATTTGCAAGTTGTGTTTATAAACTAAATGATTTTATATTTTTACTGTTAAAAAATATGAAAAATAATTAATTGGTTAGTTAATAAACAAATAGGGGTAAACCACATAACCTCCAATAGGCCTCCCCTTGAACCTAGAGAATAGGACCACTTATACACCCAACATTTTATAACTGCTTTTTAACGGTTTCATTTACTCCCCTTTTTCTTCTCCACACCTATCCTTTTATTTAATTATTTTTATTTCTGTTAATATATATAAAGGCCTCGAACTCCATGAAAATCAAATTCAAGGACAAAATAACTCAAGCGGTTTCGGCAAAAAACCGGAGAGAGAAAAAAACCTACTCCGGCATTCTCTCTCTGCGGCTACCTAGCTTCCTCCACCGTCCACCGCAGAGGGAGAAAGAGGAAAAAAAATCCCCATTTTCAGATCATCTCCGCCCCTTCCTTTTCTTTTTGTCACCGATAAGAAGAAAATATACGAGACAGAAAGGGAGGGGAAATGGAGATGATTGGCAGAGCTTTGATGGCGATTTTGTTGGTGGTGTTGGCGGCCGCCGCCTTCCCATCTGTCACCGCCGCCGCCTCCAATGCTGAGTCATTCGCACCCGCGCCTTCCCCCATCAGCGATGGTACCTTATATCGATCTATCTCAGTTTCATTGTTACTCATATACTTATTTATTTATTTTAATCGAAATTTTGCAGGAACGACGATAGATCAAGGTATAGCGTATGCTCTGATGCTCCTGGCTTTGGTGCTGACATATATAATTCACTAGATTTTTTCACATCTGAATTAAATTATCATCATTTTTTCCCCAACAAATCTGGCATTGATCAACAAGAAGATGGAGAGGAAGCAACGATACTCAGAATTCGCAGTCGTCGATTTGTCGTGATGTTTTATTAGATGATAGTTTAATTTTAGGAGAGAAAAAAAAAATCGCATGTTTTATTCATTTAAATAAAGTAGAGTGAATTGTCCGAACTTTGCTGTAACCTTAGAAATTTCATTCTTATTTTTGTCTTGGTTTGTTAGAATGGTGAGCATTTTTTGTTGGTAACATCATTTTATATACAGTAGCAACAATAATTAATTCCATTTTGGTACCAAGATTATTTCTTCTTCTCTTTATGATTTATCCAATGGTACTTTATCTATCTTTTATTTCTCTCATTAAAAAATCTGTCTGTGAGATGAGATCATTTACTTCAACTAGTAAGAACTATTTCTCTCATGGGTCGGGCTACGTGGTTTGGGCCACGTGGCTCCTAAATAAGAGGGCATTATTTACTTTATATTGGACGAAGTTGGATGGTTGTAATTAATTAGAGCAAAAAACGCAATATTAGAATTTTCACAGGCTAAAAAAAACAATATTGTACAAAATCTTTTCCCGGCAGACCCTAGTAATAAGTAACAACTACAACAAAATTGAGAGTCTCAATCAGACATGTTTCCGGAAGGTTCTAGGTAATAATAATAATAAATAAATAACAAAAGCTAAAGCTAAAGCTAAATCTAATAAGCAGCAGCAGCAGCAGCTGGGGAGGCTTTTACTAAACAAGATGTTAATGTTAAATGTGAAAAAGGATCAAGAAAGAGCATAGTGATGATGCATAATATGCTTTACAACTTCATAAAATGAAAACACAATCCCAACCGAAGGACCTGCACGCCCGACACGGGGACCCACACCGGTAAATAATCCCTTCATTCTTCCTCCCCTGTCAATATATATATATGTACATGAAAACCCATCCCGTGTATCGTATCGTATTGTATTGTATTGAATATTGATCACTATTTCACTAATTAACAAGGCCTACCTCCAAACTTCCAGCAGCGTACGCCTTGTTGTCATCTTCAAAGCCCTCCTAGGATCTTTCTGTAAAATTTGCGGAAACGAAAAAAGTGAATGTATTTTTCAGTGATGAGCAAGTTCTTACATTAAATGTAAGAAGAAATATATTACCTCAATTTGCCTACGGGTTTTCGCAACATCAAAAGGACAAGTGGCAGCAGCAGCAATGCTCCCAGCAACAAAACCAGCAGAAAAGTTTGTGACAAGTACATTCGCCACATTTACTTCGTCTCCAACTAGAATAAGAAGCTTCCTCCTTAGCTATAATAAAAAGAGTTACTAAGCGAAGAAAAACATACATGCAACCTACATATTAAAATAAAAAAAAATAGAAGGAGATCTAACTGGTTCAAGAATCGAGAAGCAGATTGCAGAGAAAGGTACATCACGAACAAGCTGAGCACCAAGGCCTGTCCACAGCACTCTATAGCTCTGCACTGCACCAGCAAAACTTTCTGTTTCTATACGTACAAATAGATAACGAGAATGCAAAGAAAACACATCGAAAATTGGAATATCCCGTAAATAGATGAATCAACTTACAGCTGTTATTGAAGCTGGTTGTACTCTTGACCTGGGGGAGGATGTCAATTAAAGTCTTCCATACTCCGGGAGGTTTTTTATCACCATGGATGTGCTTAAATGCCTTCAGACAGCATGGAGTCATAATTATATAGCCGGATAAAATTGAAGGCTAATAAGATAGTGAGAAAATAAATAAAAATGTTTTATTTTCAATACCTGCATGCGTGTTCTGGCGAGCTCGATAGGATAGCAACTCGTACAAGCTAAAGAACGAGCCAATGAACCAGCCAGTACAGGTGCACATGGTGTTAAACTTGGCGCATTCTGTGCAGTAAATTCCTCTATTTGGTTACGGAAAATGTCATAGAAAGGTAAGTAAATACCAACCTGATTTCAAACACACAAAACCCATTATCTCAACTGAAAGCAGAGGAATACTTTTATTAATAATTTTTTCTGTCTTGAAATTTTACGCAATAGCACGTGAAAACTTACAGTTGGCACTGCAAGTGCTAAACCAGCACCCGTGCCTCTCCATAGCATTGGAAATCCTTCCTGCAAATATACAAGACGAACTCAGTTTGCAAGTAATAAAAAAAAAACAGAGTTTTCAACTATGATAGACGAACCTGTCGAATAATTTTGTAGAAGACATCCAATGTCCCTTTGTAATGGAAACAATCCGGGGGGCATATTACAACTGTACCATGAACCGCAGCACGAGTGCATGAGCGAGAACACCTTAGATCAGCAAACAACTAACAAACATATTGCAACACTGTAAATAAAATATCATCGTCTGAACTGACTTTTTTAAACGATCAAAATAGCAATCTACAAACTCAATCCTACCATCCGAATTGTACCTAAATGTTACCAAAACTAGTTGAGGGGTTTATAAAAAATTACTATGCCACTTCAGTGTTTCATCACATTACCTAAACCCTCAAGAATTCATTAGAACGCCGTAACTTCATCGAGTTTGGACTAGTAACTTTTCACTAAAACCACTAAGTGACTGACAAATAGTAAGAATAATCGATGCAACAATAACAATAAATTAAAAAATTGCAAATACCATGTGCGGTCCGAAATATGCCATGCGACTCGTGACATTACTTAACGGGTGCGTGTACGGGGCTCCAGCAGCCTGTGCCTGCAATCTCGTCTGCAGATTATCGTAAACAGGCAAATCATAAGAAAAACGAAAACCGACATTTATCGAAAGACGGATACAATGTGAATTCAAACTCCGACAAAGATAAATAAATGTGAACCTAATCATTTTCATTTCATATTGTACAATGAATGATGCCAATTATACCAGTATGAACCACGATTACCAGGCAGAAAATCGAATAGAAAATGACAAAACATCAAGTACAGAGATCAGAGAATCAAATTGCAACAAAATGAAAATAAATAAATAATAAGAAAACAAAAAACAGGAAAATGTAAGATAAACCTTGGCAACATCGAGTGGGTTGACCAAAACTGCAGAGAGAAACGCTGCGCCGGCGGCAGAACCCGTGCGCTCAAGCAACCCTAATTTACCATCGGAAGTGGGGCTCGAGCGGTGGTGAACTCGAGCTTTTTTCGAAATTGACGCTTCAATTCCATGAGCAATCGCCATTCTTTCAGACATCAATCAAACACACATTTCCATCAATTTTGGGGGGAGAATATTCGGTTCTTCAACCATCGTCTCTTTCAATCTCTGCCTTTTCTAATACAAAACATTTTTTAGATCGGCAACTTATTTCCAAAAATAAACCAATTCATATTTCAGCCATTTCTACGATATATAATAAAAATAAAACGACTAATTAAGGGAAAAAAGAGATAATTATCAAAAAAAAAAGGGAAAAAAGAGAATTATAAAACATTCAATATATTTTGCCTCCATAATAATTAAATTGCTTTTTTTAATTAATGTCTAAATCAATTCTAATACAGGCCTTATGTATTGGGCCGGGACAAGAATTTCTGTATTATAAGTGTTCCTTATAGGCCTTGGTTTTATTTTCTATTCTAAGCCCAACAATTTTCTCTGCAATGGAATATTCCTCCAAAAACTATTTATGCTATTTCTTAATTAAAATGTAAGAAATTAGAATTGATGTCAAATAAGTTCCCTTTCCCTCAAATCAAACTATATTTAAAGTATTGGAGCTAATCGTAGTTTTTTGAAAACTTTTAATTAAAAGTTAAAACCCTAGTTTGACATCTTTAATTTAAACCACCGATGAAGAGGTGGAGAAGTAAATTAGATGATTCATGCAGTTCCAATCCCGATACATGTGACAACTACGATCGTCCGATTTTATCCCATTGTTCCGGTGTTCCGGCCGCTTTTTGCCCGTAGGCTTTCGGATTTCAGGTTTTGTTTCCCGACGTTCTTCGCCACGGAATGATCTTAAACGACACTTCAATGAAATATTAGAGGAACAATACTGTATATTAAATATGAGTAGTAAGCACTAAGCACTTATTAATTAGGAATTAATCTTATCAGAAAGTATAATATACCGGTAAAATTATGTGCAACTTGCAAGTCTTGATCAATTGTTTTACAACCTTAATCCAATCACTTAATTATTTAGTTAATAGATTTGAGTTAATAGATTTGCTTAGATGCCGGATCATGCATCTTTTATTTAGTGTGCTCAGATTTCAAACACTGTTTTTTTTTTTTTGTAAATATTAACAAAGTGCATCCATCTTTATAAATCTTCAACTAGCTTCAATTGGTCAAGATGGGATTGCATGTAGCTCGTGTTTGGTTGAAATTATAATTTCTTAGATATTAAAAGAATGCACAATATATGATACGAAATTCAAAATTAATTATCATAAATATTTGAAATCTTGCAAGCCAACTCGAACTCATAAAAAGAAAAAGAAAAAGAAAAAAAAAAACGAAATCGAACTCGAACTCGAACTTGAGTCATCCAAATAGGTCGAGTACATCAGCTCAATACTTTAAAAATATTGTAAAATAATTAAGTAGAATTGATTTAAATAAGAATGCAGGAAGTATATGAAGTAAAGATTTACAGGAAGAGTCAAATATATCTGCAAGCATTTAATGGTATGAATCTACTACCTATTCATCACACTAAGAGTCACTGCCACATTCCAGACTCATCCTTAACTCAGAATATAATTACTACTAGTAAAAATGTTGACAAACTGTTAATTAATTACTACTAATTTAATATACTAATTGTTAATTAAAATTATTAAAAGAGACTGATACTGTGGAATGAAGAAAGTAAAGGTTAATTGATGGACTCCTAAAAATATCTTCCATCAAAGCATGTGATTTACTGTGATTATTATCACAAATCAGATTTTCTTCGTTAAAGAAAATATGAACCACAAAGTTAGTAAAATATACTACTACTAATTAAATTAATTAATTAATGAAGAGTCAAGAGTAGAAAGTAAGAGGTGAAAAAAGAAATATATATGCATAGGGAATCCTAAAGCAAATAAATAATGTTCTTGTTCCCCATAAATGTATTCAAACCCAATTTGGCCAAATGCTGTTACATTAGCAGCATGGTTCATGGTGACCCATGTCGTGTATGCCTATTCCATTTTTTCTTTTTCATTTTACGTAAATTCCACGTGTCACCACCATATCTATAGAAGAATCTGATAGAACCAGTAATTATCACATTCCCTAACCTAAAATCCGGCAAAAGGGTCGTGCCCACGAGTGGTGAGGCATGGACCCTGAAAATCTGGTACATTAATATAAAACCTAACCCCGGCCCCCTATTTCATACTATCATCTTTCTTTTTCTTATTTTTTTTTTTTTTAAATATAATTTATTATTTATAATTAATATTGAGTTAATTTTGTACTTGTGGAGTTGTGGGATTTTGTCTTAAATGAAGACAGGATTGAGAATGACAAGTTGACTCCCACTTAATTTTGTGTTTTGTGAGTGGAGGGCTCCGTGGCGGAGTGATGGCTGAGCTGCCACTTAGCCGCCGGAGTAAAACTGCCTGATCAGCTGCCCGGGGTTGCTTATTTTTATTATTATTATTATTATTAGCATCTCAATTATTTTGTAATAATAGTGCTCTGATAATTGTCGCAAAACATTTATTGTAGGGAAGCACATTATCGGGGCTCTGTGCTGTGAAAAGAAAACAATTTAAAAGAACACATATATAAAATAATATCAGGCAAATTATTCTTTAGTGGAGTTGGTCCACTCACAAACAAACGGCTTATTAACACACCATACTAACTCATTAATTAACTCACTAATTAACTCAATAATAAATAAAAGTCTTGTATCATTTACAATATTTAGATATTTTTAATATTATTTTGGGCTTATATGATGCATAATTACTAACAATTGGATACTGAGTGAGATATTCCTAGTTCCCTGAGAATTAACTTGAGCAAAACAACAAGGAACGTTAGTCCAAATCAAAGGGACGAATATATATATATTTTAATTGGTATTTGTCCAATTTATAGGGCTTTTTGAATCCAAAAATTAAGGTGCAATTAGCAAAATTGCGACCAACAAATAATAATATAATATTATTATATGACAAAAGCACAAACGCAGAGATGCAACAGCAAAATTGAAATTAAAGTTGAAAACAACTTTTCATCCCCTTATTAAGGCACTCATGAATTTGCAATTAAACGTTTGTGTTTTTGTTAAAATATAGTTTTCCATTAACCGTGCACTTGGAATCCAATAAAACAAATTAGTAAATGATATTATTTCACTAAAAAAAAATGATAAATTACCCAATAATAAGGAGATTCTAACTGATTAAATTTGTAAAAACCCAAATATACGGGTTATGGAGATTCGCGCGGTATTACTATGTATGTTAATCATATTTGTGTGAATTTCACAAGAAAATTAAACATACATTTTTTTTATGATTATTATTAGAATATTATGAATAATATTGAAAATGGAATTCTCGAACAAGCCACGTGGCCACCCACCATGTGAGGCCGGACACGTGGCGACAAATGGAAGCCGGAGGGGGCGTGCCGAACGCCGGTGAAAATGGTGGCTCGGATAAGTGGGATGCCAGGTGGGACCACGGAAGCGAAGGCGTGGGCCCCACTTCCACAGAGTCTCGAGACTCTGCAATTTCCCTTTTTCTTTTTTTTTTTTTTTTTTTTTTTTCTCGAAAAAACCATAGGTGCATGCACTGAAAGAGGCTTTATCTCTTATTGTCCCTTTTGCCCTTAGCTTTCGATTATGGTGGTGGAACACTTTCTCTCTCTATTTAATTTTTCACTATCACAAAATGTATGGATTAGACTAAACTACCCTTCCGTTAATCAACCTCTTGAATACTGAAATGATAAGAGGGAATATTTGAGGTACTAAAGAGTAATAAAGATAAAGTTTGATGAATTAAAAATAATTGTTGTAAATATTGATGATTTACCGTTTAATTTTTGAAGTGAGTACTGTAATAATACATAAATGAGGTTTGAATAAACAAGTAGAGAGAGAGAGACCAACATTTCTTACTTCAAGTCGACGCCTAGTGACACGTTTCTCGTTGAAGAAGATAAACAATTATTGTATTTGGTGTTGAATAAGCGTGTTTACTCAGTTACGCATTGTAATTCACAAAAAAAAATTTAGCTTCACCCATTTTATTAATCTTCCAACACTAATACCAACGTCCTCCTCTCAATAATACGTGGTGTGGTGTGGTGGCCCTTCTTTTCACAACAGATCTCATCGTTCATTTTATTTTATTTTTTTTAAATTCATTTTTGTTTTGGGATTAATTAGAGAAGCATAGGGATTAAAATCGCTTTTTTTTTTTTATTTTTATTTTTTTTTAATTTCCGTTATGATCACTTGCCTGAAATATATATCTTGATTCCATTTAATTTGTTTTAGGGATTTCAATGTATATTTTGCGTTTTATTCACTTTCCGATAAAAACAACAACATGTTACCTCGATAACTTGTTTCATGATTAACGTAAACATTCCTTGTTATTTGATTGGCAAATTGCCTTGTTACATGCAATATATTATATATATAATTAATGATCAAAATTAACTAATTTCATCATTTAAATCTTATATATTCCTTTTCATCAAATATATCATTTTAATTGTGTCTTAATTTCAAGTCAATTATGATATAATATAATTGATTAGTTTAATTACAATATTTTTTCCTAAAAATTAACAGTTAATACCAGAGCTTATCCTAAAAACCAAACCGACTAGTAATTAGTTTAAGAACGTGATTAAGTTTCAAAAATACATAAACAAAAAAAATGAAGTAAATATATTTTGGAGTTATCAATTTCACCTACAAAATCTGGCACACAAGTGGTATACCCTATAGTTAGTTTAACTACATAAAATAAACTTGGAAATAATGTAAAGACATGACGAGTATAACAAGCTGGTTTTTCACTTAAACCAATGGCATCTAGGGCTTGATGACAATTAAGTAGTAATTCATGATTAATTAAGGGACACATTTAATGCCCAATTACTTCTAATTAATTACTCATCATAAATAAATAAAAATCTTGGACTTGATGCTCATTGACTCTATAGTGTATCTCCACATACATATTACAAATCAATAAAACAATTTAATTTGATGCGTTTATTACTGTATTACTTGGGTTATATAAATCATTTGACATTATTTAGTTGTAAGTTTTGACAACTAACTATATATTTATATATCTTTAGTTATATAATTTGTCGAGCTCAATGTATTTGTATTTTTTGTTTTTGATAACACTTGGCTCAATGGGAGAGGCCAAATTCCAAGAGTATTCGTACTAGTAGCTGCAATTTATTTGCTTACATTTTTGTCTACACAAATCCACATAAATCATGTTATATATGGGATCCATATATAACCCATTTCAAACATATATACATACAACATGAAAGAAATTTAAATATTTGTAGCAATTATATATATATATATATATATATATATATATATATATATATATATATATATATATATATATATATATATATATATATATATACTTACTATTTGTAGGTCTAGTTCGTCACACATAACAAACCTACTGTGATTTACGATCTCGTGCGTTTTACAAGTTATTGTACAAGAAAGATAACTGGAGTTGAGAAAAGTCCGATTCCCAATCATACATGTTTAGACTAGTGTAATATGTAGCGTAATATATTATAAATTTTGTTGGTAATTAATATAGAAGTTAGAGGTGTCAAAGATTTAAATAGCTAGTTTAAATGAGTGACAACTATACTACACATTACATTACAAACAAAATATATTTTTTTAACGATTTATTTTAAAAGGAAATTTGATTCTATAAAACGTGTTTGTGTATTTGGAATTTAGATTAGCTCCAACAATAACGTTTAGTTAATTACGGTGAAAGAAAAAAAAAACGTTTGGAGTATACGATAGAATGACCATAACTTCTATTTTACTACAACATCAGAATAATTCCCATTTTCTTAATCTAATTACTTTATTATATTAAAAATTGAATATGATTATGAATTAATTAAAAATAAAGAAAAGGGATTGAGTGAAACGCAATCAGTTAAAACGGTAAAAGAATAATCACGTGTGGGCAGCTCCACCATCACATAAGCAGTACCAGTCTAATCAGACCAACTCATGAGGTCTGTGTACAGTTACCATGTGCGTTGTGTGCGGTTAAACTTTTACTAGATTTTTTACCCAAACTAGAAAAGTCGTTTTTACCTTTTCCCACACGCGCACTAACCCACGTGCGAAAAGTGATGCCAATATTCTGTAATTCAACAAATACTAATTCAAATAGTGTTGTTTCAAAAGCTTGTATATTTTGTTTTCTTTTTTTTTCCTGTCGAGACTTTAATGAATGGGTTAAAGTGTTTTTTACTGTTTTATAAAACTGATAAAATCAAGAATATAATTTTAATCTTTTTTTAAATTCAATATTGTAAATATAAAAAGTAGTAAAAGTAGAAAATTTGAACCCTTCACTTGGACCTAATAGAAAAATAATTTAGATTATAAATTAATTAGTATATTACTCATTCCATACTGAAAAAAATCTTCATTTTAATCAAAATTATTTCAATAAATATCTAAAGCATAACGATTTAATTTTAGTGCAAATATCTCTCCAAGCTATCGTTTTTCTTAAAAAAATAAAATACTTCGTATTAATTTAAAAAAAAAATAGTGAATGGGTCTAAAATTATTATTTATTTTAATATTATGTAATCAAGATAATTTGATTATTTTCATACGTAAATCCTCGAAATATGTTTAATTATATACAAAAAAAAAAAAAAAAAAAAACCATAAGAATCAAATTCAAAATGAAACCAAGCTCAACAAAATTGAAGGGAAGGAGCGTGTTGTACACGCATGGTTAATCAGGTGGAGACCACTTTCTCGAGGGATGGAATTACTAGAAAACAGGGTAAAACCCAGAGAGCCGTACAAAACCAAATTATAAATGGCGGCGAATCCTAGGTTGCCCGCCACGTTATTTCTAGCTGTAAAAAAATCTTATTTTAACACCCCCCAAAAAAAAAATTAAACCACCCCTTCCTGCTGGTTAACAGCTAATTACAAGGTTAAACATTTTAAACCGTTGATTAGTAATTTTTTTTATTATGGTCAAAGAGGTGAGTTGCCAATTTCCTTTTTCAATTTTGACCGACATTTTCTTTTAACTGGGCCGGGCATCCTGGGCCTCACGTGACCGGCCACACATTCTTCGAGGTTAAAAAAAAAAATACCCCAAAAATGCATTGAGTGACTGAGTCAGCACCATTTCATGCTTACTCATTGGACCAACCCAGCATGGGGCCCACACAGCCACGTGTCGATTCCAAATACTCTACAAATGCGGCGAGCCGGGTTTTGCCGTTAAGCAATGGCCGGAATCTTTTAGCGCCGTTGACGGACTGTCTATTCCTACCGTCCATGACTTTCCCGTTTGTAGAAAATTGAGATATTTATAATTAATGATTTTATTTTGAATTAATTATTTCACCACAATCCCACCCAACCGAGTAATATTTTTTTTTAAATGGCAAAAAATATTAAATAATATATTTAGAAATTGGTGTGCGTATTATTTTGGCGTTACTAATTTGGGCGATCCTATAAGACAGCGATTTCAGTGTAGTTTTTAGTCCCTCCTTCCAAATACCAAGAATTCTCTCTCTCTCTTCACTTTCTCTCTCATCTTTCTCTCTCTTCACTCCACACTTAGCTTTGCTACTACTAAATTCCTTTTCTTCTTCTTCTTCAACTCACTAACAAAAACCCTTTAGCAACTTTCTTCTTACCGTGCGTGTTTTGCTGCGCTTTGAATCCATCTTTTAAGGCTCGCGCGTGTGTCTTTTTTTGTTTGTCAGATTTTTGTGGTTCATTCATTTGATTCTCTCTCTCTCTCTCTCTCTCTCTCTCTCTTTTTTGTATATGTTAAAAACCAAGTGTTTGAAGATTTACATAAGAAAATGGATCAAAGCTTGTTATGGCCGGTGAAATACACCGAACACAAAAGAATCACCAAAAAAATCATCAAACCCAAACACATGAACCCTAAAAAGCAACCCACCGAATCAATCAGAAAAATCCAAGAAACCCATCATCAGAATTTCAATTTCCCCAAAACCGTCAGAATTTCCGTTACTGACCCTGACGCCACTGATTCCTCCAGTGACGAAGAGGAGGACGACCACCTTTTCCGCAGGCAACGTGTCAAGAAGTACATCAGGGAAATCAGACTGGAGACAGCTGTCACTCCTACTCCGAACTGCAGGAACCGAACCGTAGAGATTCTCCACTCCAAACCCAAGCCCATGAAGCCTGTCAAGGAGGCGGCTCCCGCCGCCGGCCCCAGGAAGTTCCGGGGCGTCCGCCAGCGGCCCTGGGGGAAGTGGGCCGCCGAAATACGGGACCCTTCTAGAAGGGTCCGCCTCTGGTTGGGTACCTACGACACCGCCGAGGAGGCGGCGATGGTTTACGACAACGCCGCCATTAAGCTCCGTGGACCGGACGCTCTCACCAACTTCATCACCCCGCCGCCGTCGGCCAAGGAGGCTTCGCCGGAGACCAACGTGACGTCAGTTTCCGGCTACGACTCCGGCGACGAGTCGAATAACCTCTCCTCTCCCACTTCTGTTCTCCGCTACAGAAGTAGTAATAATCACTCAAATGAAGAGACGGAGCAAACCGGGCTCACCAGTCAATCGAGCCACGACTACACCGAACCGGACCGGTCCGGTCCGATTCGCGGCTCGGCTAGAGAAGACGAACCGTCCGGTTCGTGCGACGGTTACTTCATGGGCTCGGTGGAAAACATTGGGCCCGGCCCGGTTCATGGGGTATCTTGGGAAATGGAGGAATGTCAAGGTGAAACGAGTATGGTGATAAATGATTATTTGCCGATGGACATTCCGTTTCTAGATGATTTCTTCAATTTTCAACCGAAAGACGAGCCCTTGTTCGACGATTCACCGAGCTTCTTCAACGGCTTAGATGATTTCACAATGTGCATCGATGATTTTCCACCTCTCGATTTGTCCCAACAGCAAAGGGCTAATTACTTCGGAGATATTAAGGATTCATTTCAAGAACTTGATTCACTTGAAGTTGAGGATTATTTTCAAGATTTAACCGATTTTGGTGGCGTTGATGCACTCTTAGCCATATGAATCATCATTATGCAAAAATAATTATTAAAAAAAAAATTATCTATTTTTTTTTATTATTATTATTAGTAAAATTAGCCAGTCTTGCCGATTAAAAAGGCAAATTTTGTTGACTGGCTAAATCGGCTTGTATTAGTTTTTATTAGTTATTATAATTATAATTATTATTATTATTTATTTGTTCTAGTATGATAGTAAAATATCTCCATCCAAAAATAAGGAAATGGAGATTAATTAAGTGAGTTTTTTTTTTATTATATATATGTATTTTGTGTAATAAAATAGATTCGTCTTTTCAAGATTTTTTTCTCTCTCTCTCTTTTTTTTTTAATTTTTTTTTGTAGTATCCCATGTTCTTATTAATGAATTTTATTATATGTTTATTTATTTATTAATGTGGAAATGATATATATATTAATGTTGAGCTCATGTGTGTGGCATTCTATTTGTGTATGGCCACACGGGCAGCCAAAATATGACCAGCCGGGCATACACACACACACACACACACACACCAACTTGCACCTGTTAAACCAAATCTACCAAATCTTCCTTTTTCCTTTATTTTATTTTTATTATATATATATATATATTTTTTTGTCGTATAATTAGGATTTGTGAAATGATAATAAAAATAAAAATACTTGAAAAGTAGTAATTGCAAATTAAATGAAACCTAAATTAAAACCTTTGTGTTTATTGCTTTTGTAAGAAAAGTAAATGCCCCCGGCAATGCAATAATAACTCAACGTCCGTTACCTACAAAAATTGAAAAAATGATGGAGTATTGTATTTAAGGTTGACAATATCTCACATTAATTATTATATATACCAAGGTAGAGAGAGAGAGAGAGAGAGAGAGAGAGAGAGAGACCTACGATTAAATTTTGTTATGCTGTCTGCATTTATTGTATTACATTTTATGTTTCCAGCTTTCTATAGCTAAAGATGCTTCTGTCGGTAATATATTTCTTGAAACCTAGGTTTTAATTCCACACTAAATTTTTAGTACTATTTTTTTTAAATAATTATTAATTATATATCAGAAATTAATTCCGATAATAAAAATAAAAATAATAAATATTTCCTTTGTTATGTATTGATGGTATTGTGGGGTCAAGAGTATATATACTTATAATGTTGGTCTTGGACCAGATATAACATTATAACTTGCATTTTACTCCAACATATGAGAATATATATATTTATATATATGTGGGCAGAGGTTTGCTAGGGTATAGTGGTGATATATCATGATTAATGTACCCTAATTATGTTTTGGGGAGCTTAATCAATTAATTCTTATACTAATCCTGTCTGTAGAGTATATATATATATATATATATATATATATATATATATAGTGGTAAAAAATAAAAATAGATTGAGAGTAGCATGCACGCGCAGTCCACACGTCGAATGGAGAAACCTACGTACGAACAAAACCCTCTACTCGTATGATTATGTCTCGATACCTTTTCACACTGTTAGTTAAAATAAGTACTAACTGTACAAATTTTTTTTTTTATTTTTTTTTTAAATAAATAAGTGTAGATTTGAAAAGCGCGCTGACTATTCCTTACTAGTAATAGTTTGTACTATGTAGTATGTACATATCAAATCAATTTTCTTTTTGCTTACTTAGGGGCTGTAGTCATGGGGATTAATTAAGGGAAATAAATTAATAAAATAAAGAATAAGGATGAAGAATTGATATTAAAGAAGAAGAGTTGTTGTGGAAAATGTTTTCAGTAGGGGCAGGGCCGTTCCTGAGATTTTGGGGGCCCTAGGCGAGATTTGAATACGGATAAAAATGGGCCCCTTCTACAATCTACAATAAAACTTATTTTTTTATAAAAGGTGATAAACTCTATTTTAACTCGATTTTGTAAGATACATAGCCAGTGGCAAGGTTAAAAATTTGTGATATAGTAGGATTAAAGTTTACAGGGGTTCGGGGGCAGCGTCCCCGATTTTTTTAAGGATAATTTGCATGAAGTAGCACTAAAACAAGTGAATATATATAAAAGTAAATAACTAATACATTACAAATTTAATAATTATGGGCCCCTCATGATTAGAGGAATTCTAAAAACAAGTAAGAATCGTTGATATATAGCTATTTATGAATTAAAATTCTCAATAATTATATATATAATATATTTTCTTTCAATAAATGTTCATATATAAAGGGTATAAAACATTTCGGGGGCCCTAAATTTTTGAAAAAATCCGGGGGCCCTAGGCGACCGCCTACTTCGCCTCCCCTCAGAACCGGCCCTGAGTAGGGGGTCCAAAATGTGGTTCCTGTCTGAGAAATGGAGGAAATAAATCAAAATGTGGTCAATTTATGAGTGGGAATGTGACATGAGTAATGAGTTGTAAAGAGCTGTATGCATCTATCAATACACACACACACACACATATATATATATAAACATGCATGAGGGATGTGGAAAGAAAGATAAATCATATATACCTCTCATAAGGTATTGACCATCATTTACAAAAGTCACGAATTTGAATTCAGGTGGTGAAGAAAAGTTGGAATGATATTTAATCAAATTAGAAGAGAATATTCATTGATTCATATTCATTTTAATTTTTTAATATATATATATAGAAGTGAATTATAAATTAACTTAAGTCAGTTTCCCAACAATTTCTTAGGACCACATAGATATTTTGTATATTTCAGATTCGAGAGAGAGAGATTTTATCAAATATATATGTAAAAAATATCGTAGAAAAACGAAAAGGAAATTCTTATCCACAAAGAGAAAAGCTCTCTCTAGAAAGAATACATAAGACATTTCAAAAGACAACCGATATTAATATAAATTATTAAAATCTTATTGATTCAAAGGTTACTTATATAGTTATACATTTAACGACATAATTAAAACGACGTCGTCCTTCCTTACATTAATTTCCTCTTCTTCTGTAGATACGTGACGTGGCTCATTCATCACCTAGCATTGCCATTTTCTTTACACTACACTATTTCTTACATCCATTTCATTCTTAATTACACATTAATTAATCAATACTTTAGAGCATACTTACATTATTCAAAAAAATAATAAATTTTATATATATAAAAAAAAATAAAAAAAAAGATTTTTGAAAAATCACAAGGCGCCCCTTAGTTTATGCTGACCCATTCAGTGTACACTTACAAATTGAGGACCGCTTTTGCTGCTGCTGCTGCATGAGAAATCTCAGAGGCAAATACGACGTCGTTTCACAAGAACTGGGATTGCGTGTAAAAAGTAAAATCATCATGTAATCATTTGTTTCTAATTCTAAGTGTTTGGGGATTTTTATTTATATATATAAGCAGTCGAGCCCCAATGTAGTTTTTATTAATTCTTATTTTACCGCTAAATTGTCATCATGACTTTCTCACGTGAGATGTTACCACCTTTTCATGATAGATACTACGCATTTAATATTTATCCTGCACAAACAAAATTAAAGTTTTCAAATAGATTGATACATAGATAGATATCCTAAATTGAGATAAAGCTTAAGCTTATACTTCCTATTACAAAAAAATGGTTTTAATAATAATTGAGTATTAGGAGTTTTAATTTAAAGAAATTAGATGTGGGAGGAAATTAATCAATTCCTCATGTCTATCATACATATATATATATATATATATATATATATATATATATATATATAATTAATTAAATATTGGAAGATTAAAATTGTAATAGATAGTTACCCTATTATTTTATAGACAACTTTAAGAGTTTCTTCAGAAATATATATCTAAGAGAATAAATGTACGTGGTCCATATTTAGTTGATGACTCAAATGGGCAGATGTCACCACCACCCAGCTTTGGTCCCTGGAGGACTAATGCCTTCATGCACCTCACAATTTAATTACTTCAAATCTAAATAAATTACTCAATTAATTACTACTTTAATTATTATTTTATATACTAATTAAAATATGTAAACATCCTCTAATTTTTTTTTTTAAGAAAGAAAGTCTGTTTTTCTCAGTAATAATTAGAATATTTTCCCCATGAAAAATATATATATATTCATTCAGATAAATATTACGTGGTGCTCTGGTTAATTAATTATGGGTTTTGTATATATATATATATATAGTAACGGTGCAATAAGATTGCATTAGTTGTCAGAGGATTTAAGGGGAAACAAAAATAATAGAAAAAATATAAGCAGAAAGAAAAAAAAAAAGGCAAGAAGAAAGAGAGTGTACAGAAATATATCAACAGAGCCGTCTTTTTTTAAGCACAGCACTGTAATGAAAATAAAAACTGCTCCAAAGTATCTGTAATACAAATTTAATGAACAATGACAACAAAAGCACTGTGCCCATTGGTTTTGCTGATGATGTCTTTCTTTTTTTGGTCCCCACACACACACACACACCAACTCGTCACAATCTTTGCCTCATCTTACGTCTATTTCTCATAGATTCTGTCTGCACTTTGCATATAACACTCACTTGAATTGGTATAAATCTAATTTCAACAATTACCATCGTATATTATTTACTACTTATGAATGTCAATTAAAATGAATTTGAAATCTCTTATACCTATTTGGCCGATCCAATAAGTCCACTAATTAGTATCGGACCATTAGATTTTAATATAAATTAATTAATCTGAAGAAAAAAGAGCTTTTGTTAGAACGTGAAAAGCGCGTGGGTCTTGACTCTTGCCTGTTGCTGTTGCATAATAATTATGATTATTAATTATTATTATTATTATTAATAATCATAATGAAATAGCAGTAAGTAGTATAATTACCCACGTGGCTTTGGGTCGGTGGGTAAAGTACAGAGTGGGCTTGGGCCTCTATTATAGGTCCGTTTTGAAGGTTAGCCAATCCACACTAGGATGATGGGTCCGGGTCGGGTGGTTAACCCTTTCCCTAACAACCATTTATCATTGGAAATGACCACTAGTCCACTACTAATATGCAAATAAACATTTATGGGAGCTACCTACCATGTTAGAAATTTATTACTCATATGAGTTAGTTCCATTAGGTAAAACCTACAGTCTCGTATAACAGCTTGCAAATCATACGAGGGATGTAAAATACACTGACTAACCATGTTTGATAAGCTCCACCTATCGACCGTTTGCACGAATATTCAAACTTAAGTCAAATGATATATGTTCGCTTGCTCCAACAGCTAGATTACCCGTTGCGGGACTAATGTTATTCTAATCATTTGATTTGATTTTCCTTTTTTCCTAGTTTATTTTTTCAAAGTTTCAAAGGTATCTTGAAAATGAGTATGAAAATGATCTTTGATGAAGAAAAAGAAATAAAAAAAATAGTGGAAAGACAAAAAGGAAGGGAGCCGCCTAGAGGAATGTTTTCTCTCTGTCTTGTATGACTTTATTAAAAAGTATGGTTATTAGTGGGCTTTTCACATTTTCTTATTTTTATTTATTATATAGTGTGAATCGTTACGAACTCTAAAGAAGCATGCCTCTATATTGCTTTAATAAAATTTGATGCCTATTTGTGCTTGTGTGTAAGAGAGAGATGTCAAAAGTCAACCCAATGGGAAACAAGCCACTTTAGCTTTCCCATTGTTCCTTTTGCAGGAATTGGGCGATTTTTAGGCAACAACCATTTAACCTAGGATAAGTTATTTCTATATTGACTCTCTCTCTTTTTCTCTTTTACCAATTCATGTATTTCAGAGCAGTTTTTCCAACTAGTGCCAAATAACTTATTTCGTGCTCTGTAGCACGAAATGCCTATGTTCTATTATGACGCCCTACCATTTCGTGAATCTTTATATGAAATTATTCACTTCATTTCGTGCTCTGTAGCACGAAATGCCTATGTTCCGAAAATTATTTCAGAAAATTGCGAGTTATTTTTTGGAACAAGCCAGTAAAAAGTGCACTATAAATAACATTTCAAATTGGGTGTTCTTTTAATAGTTTATGAAAAAAATACATGAATCCCACACACGTGTGCACGGGTTGGCAAAGGATCCGAAGATGCTTAGTGGGCTCAAGGCATACTGGATCAGTATAGAATCATGGGCATAGTCAAAACTATTATCATTTAATTTTATACTCTCTCTCTCTCTCTCTCTCTCTCTCTCTCTCTCTCTCTCTCTCTCTCTCTCTCTTATTTTTCCGCAGTAAATTAATTTTAGAGGTATGTTCTATCAAATTTGTTGCACATAACTCGAAAGTCTCCATCACCCGACAAACTTTCGGTGCAAGTGATTTAACGTATAACATATTCAAATATTTGAATATATAATTAACTCAAAACCACTTAACACACTATGTTACACGCCAAAGAACTCTTAAGACATATGATATCGAGTGTTGATAATTAATTAAGTCAACAAGAGATTATTTACCTTCAAATGTTGATTACGCTGAAGATTAAATAGATAAAAACTAACTTTTTACTATTAAGCCAATGTGGGATGAGATCAATTCCTTCTATTTTAATTAAGGAATTAGCTACACCACTAATTAAAATTAATTCTTGATACCAAAAAGTGACTAGAAAACAAAGATCATAGAATTGGCATTTCCTTAGGATAATATTAAGAAATATGGTGTATGTAGTTTCACATCACATGTCTATTTCCTAAATCCAAAATTGCCACGTGGCGACGTCCAACTACGCATGTCACTCGTTCTGCTGATTAAGCCTTATTTCATTGTAAAAATATGCCCATGGATAGTAACTAATGTAATCAATTATGATCCATAAAATAAAATAAAAAGCATTATTGTAGGCAATATTGGATTAGGTTGGAGTTCAACAATAAATTATGGGGTTTCTACACTAAGTTTGATTATATTAGTGGCGTCTCACTACTTTCGTGGATAACTTTAAATATATATTTGGCTCACGTGACAGACAAAATTCTGGCCCCGCTACTATGTCTTAAAATGGACTGTCGAATGTAAAATAATCATATGAATTTGTACTTATTGCAAATGGGAGCACTAATAAAGTGAGATATAGAGTCATTGTAGATTTGCATTTCTTAACCTAAAATCACGTATTGCATGCATATAGCATTGGTCATTCTTACCTGCTCTTGGATTGTAATGAATCCGCCTGAGAATTATTTTAAGACATAATACATTTCTGTCGGCTATATTTAATATATAAAACTACGAATGCATGCATATACCCCTACTTATCACTTATCGGTTATCACGCCACAAATTGAGTAGAAAAAATGGAAGCAAATGCAGCACACAATAGCATGGTTATTAACAGTGACATTGAAAATGGCAATACCAGTGGTGGTGGTGGAGGTGGTGGCGGCAGCTTATACCACTCCGGCGAGCAGATTAATGAAGCAGAGGCAGTTGACAGAACCATGAGCTTCACTAGGACTTATCAGCCTCATCAACATAGAGAGACGAAGGTACCTACAATAACGATTAACTCTTTAATAAACTGCGTTTAGTAAATAATTAAGAAGAAAATCTGGTTTTGGTAATTAATCACAGGAATACCCAGCCATGCAAACCATCCTGTTGGCTTACCAATCACTTGGAGTAGTGTACGGTGATTTGGGAACTTCCCCGGTCAATGTTTTCTCTTCGACTCGGTTGACTAATCTCTCAGAAGAAGATCTTTTAGGAACACTAAGTCTTATAATCTGGACACTAACATCTCTTGTTTTGATTAAATACGTATTCATCGTGCTTCACGCGAATGATCATGGTGAAGGCGGGACTTTCGCTCTGTATTCATACATCTGTCGACACATAAATTTCAAGAGCAAATTCACAATTCAGAACACGAAGCTGGAATCGGATTCGAATATGGAGTTTTATAGTGGAGGGGGAGGAAGCCCTTTTAGCACTAGGACAAAGAAGTTTCTAGAGAGAAGCACGACTGCTCAGAACTTTCTAACCATGCTCGTTTTCCTAGGAACTTGTATGGTTATAGGTGATGGAGCACTTACCCCTGCAACCTGTGGTAACTTCAATTTAATCACCCTTGGTATATAATTAATGTCAAAATACTTTTTTATAGATTATTATGTTTTATGCAGTTCTTTCAGCCCTTCAAGGAATTCAATCCCGGTCATCCAAAATAACACAAGGTATCATGTGCTGAATTTTTTCGTCAAAGAATAATTACACGTTTCTTGATTATTACTAATTTTCTTTATTTTTGCAGACCATGTGGTTTGGTTATCAGTTGTACTTTTAGTAGCCCTTTTCGTTTTCCAACGCTGCGGAACCAGCAAAGTCAGCTTTTCTTTCTCTCCAATAATGTTGATGTGGTTCGCTACAAATGTATCTATCAGTGTGTACAATATCATCACTTACGAACCATATATTCTAAAAGCGGTATCCCCACATTATATTGTGAAATTCTTCATGAGAAATGGCAAGACAGCGTTTGATCTTCTTGGAGCTGTTTTCTTAGCCATAACAGGTAATTATAAGTTTTCTTGGTCTCGAATTGCCAAACAAACCCCCTTTACTCGATCTAATTAAACAATTCTATAACAGTTAACAAATTCCATAATGTCTATATAGGGGCTGAGGCCATGTTTGCTGATTTAGGACACTTCAACAAAAGGGCAATCCAGGTTAATTAGAGACAAACCAAACAATCCTAATAGATTGTGAAATTACTTTTCGATCATAAATATTTACGAAAGAATTAAATGTTTGTCTTTTTCTTTCTGCAGTGGGGTTTCTCTTTCGTGGTCTATCCATCGTTAATTCTCACATACGCTGGCGAAACAGCTTATCTCACAAAGAACCCTGAAAAGATCACTAACGCTTATTACAGCTCTATTCCAGAGAATGTGTACTGGCCTATGTTCGTTATTTCTACACTAGCTGCAGTTGTTTCGAGCCAATCTATGATATCTGCCACCTTTTCTATCGTAAAACAGTCTCTCTCTCTAGGTTGCTTTCCCAGAGTTAACATAATTCATACATCTTCCAAGCATCAAGGCCAAGTCTACTCCCCGGAAATCAATTACATTCTTATGATTCTCACACTCGGTCTCGTGGTCGGATTCAAAGGCGGTGTTGAACTAGCAAACGCATACGGTACGTAAGAGTCAGAAACTTCCACAAGTATCATAACTGACTTTTTTTTAGATAAGACGATCACATTTTGTGGGTTTTTGTTATTAACTACAGGCGTGGTGGTCATATGGGTAATGATTATAACGACGTTTTTGACAACCTTAGTCATGTTGGTCATATGGAAGACAAATATTATTTTAGTACTGGCGTTTTTCTTGCCGTACATGTTGATAGAGGGCATTTTCATGACGTCATTGCTAAAGAAAATCCCGCAAGGAGGATGGGTGCCTTTTGCAATATCAGCTTTCTTCTTGACTATAATGCTATCATGGAGCTACGGGAGGATTAAGAAGACGACATACGAAGCAGAAAGAAAGATGAGCATTGAAGACCTAGATCAAATGTTGTCGTTAAACAGCAATATATACCGAACACAAGGGATCTGCTTCTTCTTCACAGACCTTGTCTACGGCATTCCACCTATAGTTCGACATTATATTCAACACACAAACTCCGTACGTGAAATTATGGTTATCGTGACCGTAAGAATTTTACCGATCAAAACGGTTCAGCCGGAAGAGAGGTTTAATGTGGGGAAACTGGGGAATAAGGGTGTTTATCGGTGCTTAGTTCAGTTCGGTTATAAGGACTCTCAGAATATGAAAGGAGATGAATATGTTGCTTCAGTGTTGACAAAAATCCAAGAGATTACTAATTCGAGAACCGAAAAGCACAAAATTCAGTCAGCGGCTGAGAGAGGAATCGTGTTCCTATTGGGCAGGACTATCCTTAAAGCAAACAAGGAAAACGGAACGCTCGCACGACTGACAATAGATTATCTGTATAGATTTCTACAGAAGAACAGTAGGGCAGCAGTTTCGACACTCGAGATTCCACCAGAAAGAACATTGCAGATTGGAATGATGTATGAAATCTAAAACATCATTCCTTTTTTTTTTTTTCTTCTTAATTTTATTTAATCCACCAGAATCAGATTCTGGAAACTGTATCTATTATTGAAGGTGCTCTCTCATCACTCATCAATTTTCAAAATCCAGACTCTAACACGAGAAACTTGTATCTAAATCTAACAGAATTTTTCTAATTTGAAAACCTCTGCACCCAACCCAACCCAACAAACAAAATCAAACCAAAAATCAAAAGGACAAAAAATTACGAACATAATAAATCCAGTAAGACAGACAATAATTTCAAGCTGACAGTAATCACAGAAAGTATCGATTCCACCATGAAAAATGGAAGAAAATAACTCAGATTAAATTAACCAAATCTACTTAAACATCCGACTAAATATTAGTATATTACACAAAATAAAAACAAAAACAAAAACAAAAAATTAAGATCGAAATTGTACCTGAGAGAAAGATCGGATGATCGTCCATTCGTCCTGCCCGCGCATTTATTAATTCGCAAAGTGAAGATGAACCGGGAATTTGCAGCTGAAAATTTGCCAAGTGAGGAAACGGTGTTATAAATAGTTGGACTCAACGATTCCTCAGCTTGACTCGGTAATTAGTCCGTACGATTCCCTATATATTGGGCCGGTTTTAGTCCGTACGTTCCTCTTATTGGGCCGGTAATTAGTCCGGTTCAAAGGCTTCTCGGTTAATTTTTCCCAGCCTTTTCACCTTCCAGTGATTTTTATTGCATTTTTATACTTGCGTTTTTTTTTTAATGCCAAAATTCAATTAATTCTGACAGATAAAGTAATTATTTAGGGAACAATCCGATTACGTAATACCCATCTGATTTTTCTATGAATTGATATGTATTTTTTTAATACTTTACTAAAATGACAAAAACGGACTTTTAGAAATATGAACAACATTGGATGATGGATCATCTACCGATCGAATGTTTTGCAATTAAAGGCTGAGCATGTGAAATGTGTTGCAATTTTATCTATTTACTTTTTTGGTCTTTTTGTGTGTTTAAAACATTTTTTTAAGTCCTTTCAAAAGATTATTAGGTTACTAGAAAGTCGAAGTGAATACATTATTTCTAAAATCATGAAAATTAAAAAGTATAGTCTGATTTTGTAAAAAACAATCATCAATGAGTGTAACTATTTTATGTATATAAATTTTTAAATATGGAATTTTCTATACGATTTTTTCAGAATTAATTTTAAATTGTAAAAATTGATTCTATCAATTAATGTATAAAATATATCATTGATGATTATATATTAATGAAATTTGTGTCTTGGGTAATTTTAATGAATTAGTGTAAGCTTTTAAAGTATGAAAAAGGTTAGGCGGAGAGAGAGGTTATTAGTAATGAATCCCACCCTACGCTAAGTATCGTAGATTTATCAGCCTCATCAACATATAGATACTATGTATATATATAAACAATTGAAGTGAAGGAATATTCTGAGGAATATCCAGCCATGCAGACAATGGTACGGTGTTGGCTTACCAATCACTAGGAGTAGTGTACGGAGACTTGGCAACTTCTCCCGTAAATGCTTTCTCTTCGACTCGATTGAATAATCTGTCGGAAGAAGATCTTTTAGGAACGCTAAGCCTTATTATCTGGACACTGACGTTTCTCGATCGTGTTGATCAAGTACGTTTTTATCGTGCTGCAAGCGGATGACTACGGTGAAGGTGGAACTTTTGCTCTGTATTCGCGTACATCTGTCGACACGTGAAATTCAAGAGCAAACTCTCTATCGATCGGAATTTTCCGTGATGGAATCTGACGACGAATCAAATACGGAATATTCCAACGTTAGTACGAGGATAAAGAAGTTTCTAGAGAGAGAAGCTCAACTGCTCAGAACTTTGTAACTACACTGGTTTTGTTAGGAACTTGCATGGTTATTGGTGATGGAGCACTTTTTTTTTTTTTTTTTTTTTTTTTTTTTTTTTTTTTTTATCTGTACGTTGTTAAATTTCATATGCAGTTCTTTCAGCGCTCAAAGGAATTCAGTCCCGGTCGTCCAAAATAACACAAGGTATTATAGTATACGAGGAGGGTATATAATTTCGACTGATGTAAATATATATATATATATATATGTTAATTTTTTAAATAATTATCAATTGTGTTCTTGAATATTATTAATTAATTTTCTTGATTTTTTTACAGAGCATGTGGTTTGGTTATCAGTTGTACTTTTAGTAGCCCTTTTCGCTTTCCAGCATTGCGGAACCGGAATCTCCAATAATGTTGATGTGGTTCGCTACAAATGTATGTATCGGTGTGTACAATGTTATCACTTACGAACCATCTATTCTCAAAGCTGCATCCCCACACTATATTCTGAAATTCTTCGTGAGAAACGGAAAGACGGCATTTGATCTTCTTGGAGCTGTTTTCTTAAGCATTAGAGGTAGTAACCATACACTTCATTTTCTTCTGTATCAAATGCAATTTAACATGTCTTTGTAAATAGGGGCAGAGGCCATGTTTGCTGATTTAGGACACTTCAACAAAAGGGCAATCCAGGTTATATATATACATTTACTTTTCGATCGAAAATATTGACGTAAAGAATTAAATATTTGTTTTTTAATTACTTTTCTGCAGTGGGGTTTCTCTTTCGTGGTCTATCCGTCGTAATTCTCACGTACGCCGGAGAAACAGCTTATTTCACAAAGAACCCTGAAAAGATCACGGATGCTTATTACAGCTCTATTCCAGAGAATGTTTACTGGCCTATGTTCGTTATTTCTACACTCGCTGCAGTCGTTTCGAGCCAATTTATGATCTCTGCTACTTTTTCGATCGTAAAACAGTCCCTCTCTCTCGATTGCTTTCCAAGAGTTAACATAATTCATACATCTTCCAAGCATCAAGGCCAAATCTACTCCCCTGAAATCAATTACATTCTTATGATTCTCACACTTGGCCTCGTGGTCGGATACAAAGGTGGCGTTGAACTAGCAAACGCATACGGTACGGTACGTAGGAGTCAGAAACTGAATTTTGATTTAAATAAGATAAATCACATATATACTATGCTTGATTTTGATTTTGATTTTGATTTTCATTTTCGGTAGGTATTGCGGTCATATATGGGTAATGATCATAACGACGTACATGTTGGTAGAGTGCATTTTCATGACGTCGTTATTAAAGAAAATCCCACAAGAAGGATGGGTTCCGTTTGCATATCGGCATTCTTCTTGACTGTCGTACTATCGTGGAGGTATGGGAGAATTAAGAAAACGACATACGAAGCAGAACGAAAGATGAGCATTGAAGAACTCGATCAAATGTTGTCGTTAAACAACAATATATACCGAACACAAGGGATCTGCTTCTTCTTCACAAACCTTGTCTACGGCATTCCACCTATAGTTCAACATTATATTCAACACACAAACTCCGTACGTGAAATTATGGTGATTGTGACCGTAAGAATTTTACCAATATAACGGTTCAGACGGAAGATAGGTACAATGTGGGAAAACTAGGGAATGAGGGCGTTTATAGGTGTTTAGTTCGGTTCGGTTATAAGGACTCTTGGAATATGAAAGAAGATGAATATGTTGCTTCAGTGCTGACAGAACTTCAAGAGCTTACTAATATTACAACAAATGAAGAGCACACAACTCAGACAGCTGCAGAGAAAGAGATTGTATACGTGGTAGGGAGGACTATCCTTAAAGCAAACAAGGAAAATGGAACGCTCGCACGGCTGACAATAGGTTATCTGTATAGATTTCTACAGAAGAATAGTAGGGCAGCAGTTTCGACACTCGAGATTCCACCAGAAAGAACATTGCAGATTGGAATGACGTATGAAATCTAGAAAGAAAAAAAAACCGACTTTCATCTTTTCAAACAGGAGCAATCGAGATAACAAGGGGAGTTATATTAATTGTTGGAAACAACTTTCGAAAGATCAACTACACATACAAACACAGTTTGAAAGCAACACGCGTCCTTTTTTTCTTTCTTCGGTGGGGCAAAATACATATTGGACGTGTATTTAGTCCAGATTTAGGATTTGAAAGATAGATTAGACTCTGTTTCAAACATATATAATGTAAAAGACGAACGAGTATTTGTAGGTAAAGGAAAATTCCCTCTTCCATACCAAGACACGGGGGTTAGCCCATGGCATATTTCTGAGTCCAGCTCCTTGCAGTGGTCTCGTACTTAGACCTGTCTGTTTTGTACATATGGGCAATCTCGGGCACCAGAGGATCGTCGGGGTTTGGGTCCGTCAACAAAGAGCAAATCGAAAGCAACACCTGAAACCGAAAAATATAAATATTATAAAAAAAAATGAAACATTGGGTACCCTTTTTTTTAATTAAAAAAGCCGAGTAAATAGATTTGAGGGGGACCTTAGAAATGGTTAGGGCAGGGCTCCACTGCTCCTTCAATATGTCGAGGCATATGCTTCCATTGCTGTTGATATTTGGGTGGAAAACTTTTGTTCTGAAAGCAACCTGTAAAATTCGTAATGAAAACAGGGGAATGGTGAAAGAGATAACGGCATATATAGATTAAATAGTGGTCTTCGTTTTCTTGAAAAAAACGAAGATAGAATGGCGGATTGAATTTAATTTAGAAAGACAACGAGTTATGTGAAATAAATACCTTGGGAGGCTTGAAAGGGTAGTCCGGAGGAAAATGAATGGTAACTAAGAAAACTCCACCGGCGTACGGACTATCTGGCGGGCCCATTATCGTAGCTTGCCAATGAAACATGTCCTCCGCAACTGGACCTGATAAATACACACAAAGTAAGAAGCGAATGATTAGCATGACGAAATGAAATGTTTCGAGTTAGAATCCTTATTGAGAAGTGGAGTGCAATCGAGAAAAAGTTAATCTACAACGTGTTTCAACATTATATATACCACACAAGATGACGATTAAACTTCAATAAGAATACGAAAAAGGATAATTAGACACCTTGTTGAATGCCAAAAGGAATAAAAGGTTCGTTTAAACTAATCTTAGTCCAACCTTTCCGATCCCATTTCACTCTTCTCCAAAACAATTGATCAAACATTTAATTCACATCGATAACTATGATCGACAAGTGAATTTACAAACAGAATTAAAACGATGATCATATTACATCCAGCAAGACAGATAATATTTCAAGCTTTAACTAGTGGACAAAATGGATTGAACCGGTAAATAATAATTAAAAAAAAATGATTCTCCCATGAAAAAATGAAGAAAAGTAGCTGAGATTGAATCAACCAAAATTACATAAAGATCCAACCCAATTCATAAGAACAAAAAAGGGAGTGTATTTATTCCTTTTTTTTTTAATTAAACACAGTTAACTAAAAAACTGAAAATTAAATATTGGTTGAAGAATTATACCAGCACTGCAAGAGGTAGGAGGATCCTTCTGAAGATCCTTGAGCTCCTTCAAGATCCGCTTCGAAGCCATAAGCGATTCCTATTTTTCCAACCACAACAAAATAACCCAGATCTATTTTCTCTACACAAAATTAAACCCAAAAAGAAAGAAATTAAAAATGGAAAATCATCCGAAATTGTACCTGAGAGAAAGATTGGATCCTCCTGCCTGCGTAATTTGAGTTGGGAAAGTTTTTCTTGCTTTGCAAAGTGTGAAGAGGAAAAGGGAATTTTTGCAGAGGAATTGCTTTTTATGTGTGGAATTGAGTTTTATAGGGCACTCATTCACTCACTGATTGATTGATCAATAATTCTTATTATTAATTATAATAATTAATTTGACAATAGTAGATATTTTCTTTTTCTTTTTTTCTTTTTTCATAATGTTGCTGATTAATAATCGGTGATTCCCATTTAATTGAGACAAATATAATTTTATTATGGATAATTATTGCTAATTATGGTAATTAATAATCGTGCTGTAAAGATAACGGACGCCTGACAAAACAGGAGATAGCTGTACAATTTAGATTTTACTATTGAAATTAAAGTATACTTTAATTTTTATTATTTTTGTAATTAATTGATTGAAATTAATTTGTCTGACCAAGTTAATTTGTTTTTGTTTTCTTTTTAAGTTTTTTGCCACATCTATATTTTAATTTAAACTAGAATAATGGGGCAACTAGGGCGGCTAATCGTGTTTTTATCAATGCTAAGTTTCGGATTAGAGTTTGAGTAAACGCGTTTCTAAGTGTGTAATCGCGTTGTAACTTATATTTATTTTATTTTATTATTTATATATGTCTGGTACAAAGTTAAAAAAAGGTGATCTCGGCCCGGCCCAATATAAATCAAAATTCAAGCGCTTGGACCGCCTCGCAAATTTTCGGTTCTATAATCAATTTGGGCTTCTGCCCCAATAACAATTCTACCCCACGTGCCAGAAATGACAGTTGATGAAATAAAAAGGCGCCAAGCTGATAATGAAATGAAATATTTGCGCTAAAATTTATCATAGATTCAACACATCACATCCACCCATGCTTCTATCCCTACAAATGTATGTGTATATATGATATGATTAGGTGGGGGTAGGGACCAATAATAATATACCAACCCTATACAATCATTTGACAACTTAATCACAAGATCATAATCAACTAGGCTGACTTTTTGACTTTTTTTGCATGAACCTACTAATTTCCTAATAACCAACTTGTCAAATAAAATAAAATTCAATTCAATATAACAAAACTATAAACCCCACAACAATCCATGGTGAACCAGTAAGTGTACCTTCCTAACAACAACTGGTAATAATTCTAATTTCAACACAACAAACTACATATTAAAAAAAATAAAAAAAAAATTGAACGAACTTTTTTCGATAATAATCGAGAATCTGATCAAGAAACCGAAGATGATGCAATCTCAGCCGCACTCGGAGTTGAACCATGCGATATTGTCGGGCTATTATTAGTATTACCTGTAACAACATTTCTAATACCCTCAACCATTTTCACCACGTCACCAATTTTGGGCCTCTGCTCAGGCATTCTAGCCACACAGCTCAGCCCTATCTGCAGCATCGCCACCATCTCCTCCTCGATATTAGGGTACCTCAGAAGCTCCACGTCGAAAACTTCACCGGTCCACTCCTCGCGCACAACCGAGTGGACCCACCTCACCAAATGAATCACCTCCTCGCCGCCTGTCGCCTGGACAGGCGACTTGCCTGTCAGAAGCTCCAGCAAGAAAACTCCGAAGCTGTACACGTCAGACGCTTGCGACACTTTTCTAGTGTCCGTCACCTCCGGCGCGCGATAGCCTGCGGTGCGCATCAGCGGCGGCGAAACGGGGCACGTTAGCGTTGCTAGTCCGAGATCGGATACGCACCCGTAGTTTTGAGGGTTGATGAAAATATTCGATGCTTTTATGTTTGCGTGGACGAGTTTCCCTCCGTTTTGTGAGTGGATGAAATCAATCCCCTTCGCTGCTCCTATTGCAATCCTTAACCGTGTTTCCCAATCCAACGTATTCGTGTTCTCGCCTCTTTTTGCTGCAAATTTTTGAAAGATTAAAAAACTAATAATCAAGAACTAATGTTAATTTAAAAAAAAAATTAAAAAAATACCATGGAGCAACGAAGAAACGCTTCCTTGATTGTAATAATCGTAAACCATTAGCTTTTCGTCTTTGGAATAGTAATAAGCTCTTAAAGGAGCCACATTTTCGTGGCGAATATTTCCAACAATTTCCATTTGTTGCTCGAACTCTCTTTTGCCAGCTATAACATCTTTCAATCTCTTCACTGCAACCGTGGTTGCGTCTTCTAATGCTGCTTTATACGTAGTTCCGAAAGTGCCCTTGCCGAGAACCTCTGCAGAAGCTCTCAACAAATCTTCGAGGTCGAAAACAAGATTACACCCCTCGAAAAACGTTATCCTCCCATTCCTATCTTCCGAAGCCATTCTCTTCGTGGACTTTTCTTTCTTCTTGTTCTTCGATGTGGGACTCATCGAATTATCTTCTTTTCGATTTCTATTTGTGAAAATTAGTAGCAAGGCGATTGCGACGAAAGCCAATACAGAACTTCCAATAACAATTCCAAGAATTGCGGGTTTAGTGAATTTCGAGGAGTGCTTCTTCGGAGTGGGAGAAAGAATCGGAGATGAAGAATTTAGGAATGATATATTATTGCCTAAGAAAGCATAACTAGGAAATCTAGAGAGAGATTGAGGCACAAATCCGGTGAGATTATTATTCGACAAATCTAGTAATTGTAGAGTAGGGATATTGAATTCAGGAATATTACCAGAGAGTGAGTTATTGGAAAGATCCAAAGCAGTTAAATGAGTCAAATTCGAGATTGAAAACGGAATACTCCCATCGAAACCGTTATTCGACAAGTTTAGCACGGAAAGATTCTCCCAAACCGGAAAATCCAAAGGCAGCGGACCCTGAAAAGCGTTGAACTGAAGGTGAAGGCCTATCAAATTACCGAGCTTCAAAAGATCGGAAGGGAAAGGGCCGTTAAGACCGTTGGATCTAAGGCTCAAGATCTGAAGCTCGGATAAACGGCTGAGGGTGTTTGTCGGAATTCTGCCTCTGAACCCAATGGCCGGCAATCGAACTGCGATAACTCTCGAATTATCATGGTTGCAAGTCACTCCAGTCCAGTTACTACATACTAAAAGTCTCGAATCCCAATTCAGATTCCGAGTGTGGTTTACGTTGGCGATGAAATCGAGCAGAGCTTGTTTATCTTCAATTGGCTCAGCTGTTGATTGTAGGATCAGAGTAATGTGTAATACTAAAATTGCTGAAAAAAGTAATTTGATGATAATGATGATGCCCATTTCTTCTTCTTCTTCTAGTTTCTTTAGTCAAAAATAAGAAACTGAAAAGCCCTCAAAATTCATCCCTATCTACAAAAACCAAAACAACCAGAAATTGAGGAAATTAAATAAATTCATACATTATTAAATTATTATCAATTAGTATCAATGAATAGTCGTAATGAAATGTATCCGTTTAATTAATTCAACATTCCAAACCAGGTTAGGTCAACAACCCAGCTCAAATGTCGTTCTCAATCAAATTAAATAAACACAAAAAAAGAAGCAGCCAAAGAGAAATCCTTTTTTTATTTTATTTTTTTAATAATATTCAATAATCCTCCAAGGATTTCATGGATCCACAACGATCGAACTCACCCTTTTCTTTTTTTTTTAAATTTCAGAGATCGAATAACTATCAATGTGAGCTAACTAGCTAGACAAGCGGCGGTTACAGTTAAAAAAAAAAAAAAAAAAAAAAAAAAAAAAAAAAGGAATGTAAACTCAGAGAGGGAAAAACATGCATTATAAAAATAAAATTAAGTACAAATATCCAGAAAGAGAAATGAAGAGAGATGAATGAGATACAAACACTCACAGAGGCAGAGCGGTTGGTAAAAGTGATGAATAGAAAGTGCGATTCTTGCTTGAAGGAGCGGAAATGATTGGGGTTGAGGGCACAGAACAATAAATGATTGAAAATTGTTTCACAAAGCAAAGCAAAGTAGAGAGAGAGAGAGAGAGAGAGAGAGAGAGAGAGAGAGATGAGAGAGAGAGTTGTTTAAAGTTTGATATATGCAGTAGTGAGTGTAGTGAGTGGGGGCTTTAATGGGGGCGGGAAGAGTGGGGAAATGCACGTGGTGTAGCGTAAATAAATATTCACTAATTTTTCATTTTTAGTCTTCTACAAGACTTCGTGGTGGGATTCAGATCTTCATTCTTCACACTCACTATTATTAAGTGATCTCCACATGTATCACTTTTCATTTTTATTGTTAAATAAATATTATTTAAATAGGGATTTTATTGAGAAAAAAAAAATAACATTTATTATCTGTTTTTAATTAATTTTTAATATTATTTATAATTTTGACTAATTAATAGCTAGTATGAATGATTCAATAGTTAATGATGTGACTGGGCGATCGATGCCTGAATATTCAATATCATGTATGGGTGTAGATTAATTATTTATATTTTATGAACGAAAAGTCTCCAATTTTAATTTTAAAATCTAGATTGACCAACTTGGGCCTTCTATTGCGTAAGGCCATCTCCAACAGTTGTTTAAAAATTGGTTGTCTATATCTATAATTTAAGAGACGAACAGTGTTATACACCATTACTTTTAACCTCACACTCCAACAATATTGTTTATATTTTACACAATTATTATATTTTATTTATTTAGAAAAATTTAGTTTAAATTAAATTAAACAACTATATTTCAACGAGCAAATTCGAACGACCATATTGTAACGACCATTTAAAAATTTATTTGAAATAATAATATTATTAATAAAAATTAATATTTCTTAATAAAAAGACTAAATTCAAAAAATTAAATTCCAAAGTTTATATATATATATATATATATATATATATATATATATATATATATATATATATATATATTAATTTAGTTGTGCAAAGTTTTTTGGAATTTAATTTTTTTAATTTAGTCTTTATTATTAAGAAATATTAATTTTGAATTTTCCGTAAATTTGGAAATTAAAAGGAAATGGGTTGTAGTTGTTTTATTATTTTTTATTTTTGCACAATTGGTTAAAGTTGAACTTTGGTTTTCCAAATTTGAGAAACCAAATTTACAATTTGTTAAAATTTGCATTTTCCCATCATGTTGTTGGAGTTCTGTTTTTTACCTCAAAATGTGTAAAAAATGCAAATAATAGATTTGCATTTAACTGTTGGAGTTGCCCTAACAGATCAATTTTAAATGTCTTAAAGTTCATCTACATAAAAATATATAATTTCCCATATTTTATGAGTGGATGTAGGATTGGACCGATTCACTACCTACCATATTTTTAAGTGGATAATAAAGATTTAACCAATCTACATCATTGGAACGAATTTTTTCAACCAAGCTACTGGACTGAGTCGACCGATGGTTCATAATATCATCAAAAGTCGATTGACTGATAATTATATCGGTCAACCAACTATGTTAATAAAATTTTATTAAAAATATTATTTTAATTTCTATATTAAGGGTGTGAGTTTCTTTTTTTTTTTCAATTTTCTAAATATTGGTAGTAGATTTAAGTTTGAATTTTTAAAGTAATTTATTATATACGTGACTAATAAAACAATTATATTTAAGAAATAATACTACAAATTACAAAAATAAAGTAATCCTTGTGATTAACTGCGAGATTTGGGAAATGATTGGGCCACGTGTATATAGAGAAAGCCGCGATATATCGCAGTGACAAATAAAGAGGATAATTTGACAAAAGGCTATATAATTAACGAGAAGAAAGAGAAAAAGTATCAAATTAGAAAAAAAGAAAAAGAAAAAGAAAAAAGAAAATCTCAAAGTATCGCGAGAAATCAGACGAGTCTCTCCACCAGATCTGCAACACTTCCGAGCATCTCTGCTTTGTAGGTTTTGTTCTTCATCTCTGCATTTTATCACCTTCTCGTCTTTTTCCCCCCTTTAATTTTGTCCTTTTCTCATTAATTAGTATTCCTGATAAAATTGAATGATTTAGCAAAGAAGATTTTTTTATCACATAATTCATAAAAATTAGCTAAAAATATACAGCAATCAGTAACAATATGACTCCTTGATATCTGATTCTCTGAAACATATTAATTTTTTCTTCCGTTGGTGGTTTGGTGGGGTGGGGGTGGGTCAAGTAATTAGAGCAAAAAAATGGGTGCTTTGGTGATTATGAAATTTAAGAATGTTTTTTTTAGCGAGAATTATCTTTCAATTGTGATTTTTGTTGACTGTATTGTTCTAATTTTGTTTTTTGATTTCTATTTTTTTGTGCATTTATTTACAGGGAAGCTTAGAAGGGGGCAGCAAGCATTTTCATACTGAGTGAGTTGTACTGTAATTTTATCTACATACCAGATTGAGTTGGAAATGTTTTTTTTCTTTTTTTTTCTGTTGCATTGCATTTTCTATTCCTAAGTTAATTGCAGAATATTTAAGTTTCGTTTATGTCTGTAATTATGAATAATCATAATAAAAATTGTAACGATTTGATTGAGCCACTTTTGCACTGTCTTGTTATGCTGGCTTGTTTCTGTGAAAGCAAATTAAATCAAGTCGAAGTTGTCTCAGTTGCAATTGGGTATCAAGAAGTGTGAAGTGATGTTAAGAACGAGGAGTATAGCTACGAAACCGGTGATATTCAACTGCGTTTCGTTTAAAATCTATGCATGGATTATATTCACGCGCATGTTCTTTTATGTAAATTACGGTTGATTATCCACCCGAGTCTTTTCCAGATTGAGTTTCAGTTACGTTTCGATTTGTAACAAAATTGTGCTGTTCAATTTATGAGCAGTGGTCCGAGAGAAGGATGCCTGCTGGGAATATGCGGACAGATTAGAAGGAAACAAAGTGAGATGCAAATTCTGCGACAGAGTTCTCAACGGTGGAATTAGCAGATTAAAACATCATTTATCAAGGCTTCCCAGTAAAGGCGTAAACCCGTGCACCAAAGTAAGAGATGACGTCACGGATAAGGTAAGGGAAATCATAGCATCGAAGGAGGATCCAAAAGAAGCATCAATTACCAAAAGGCAAAAAGTACCCGAAACTAAATCTCCTTTAGCTACAAGCATCTCTTCAGGTAAAGCTCCCGTCTCTGCTGAAGCAGCACCACGCCTTACTGGGAAAGTGTTGTCATCGATGACATCATCGAGCTGTTCTGCAAGAACCGATCAAGAAAATGCAGAGAGAAGTATAGCAGTTTTCTTCTTCGAAAATAAAGTGGACTTGAGCGTGGCCCGTTCTTCGTCTTATCATCAAATGATCGATGCGGTAAAAAAGTGCGGTAATGGATTCGTTGGACCATCTGCAGAAAGTTTGAAAACAACATGGTTGGAAAAGATCAAATCCGAAGTGAGTTTGCATTCGAAAGATATCGAAAGGGAGTGGGCTATAAGCGGATGCACGATTATTGCTGAAACATGGACAGACAACAAATCAAGAGCTGTAATAAACTTCTTTGTCTCCTCCCCCTCGAGAACCTTCTTCCACAAATCGGTCGACGCATCTTCGTATTATAAAAATACCAAGTACCTCTCTGATTTATTCGATTCCGTTATACAAGATTTCGGACCGGAAAATGTAGTTCAGATAATTACAGATAATGCTCTGAATTGCCCTGGCTTACCAAACCACATACTGCAGAACTACGGCTCGATTTTTGTGACACCATGCGCTTCCCAGTGCATGAACGGGATTTTGGAAGATTTTTGTAAGGTGGATTGGATAAATAGGTGTGTTTTGCAGGCACAGGTGGTTTCGAGGTATATATACAACAATTCTTCGATGCTCGATTTGATGAAAAAATTCACGGGAGGGCAAGAAATCATTAGGAGCGGCGTTACAAAGTCCGTTTCGAATTTTCTTTCTCTGCAATCTATGTTGAAGCAAAAATCAAGATTGAAACATATGTTCAACAGCCCGGAATTTTCCACGGATCCAGTTTTTGCATGCAAGTCTCAAACAGCAAATTGTGTAAGCATTATCGATGATAATGAATTTTGGAGAGGAGTCGAAGAAAGTGTGGCAGTATCGGAGCCGTTTTTGAAAGTGATGAGGGAAGTTTATGGAGGGAAAGCCTCGGTGGGGTTTATTTACGAGTTGATGACTAGAGCAAAGGAGTCTATTAGGACATACTATATTATGGACGAGATTAAATGCAAGACGTTTTTGGACATTGTGGATAAGAAGTGGCAGAACAATCTTCATTCGCCTCTTCATTCTGCAGCAGCTTTTCTGAACCCTAGCATTCAGTATAATCCGGAGATTAAATTTCTCGGATCTATAAAGGAAGAGTTTTACAGAGTTCTCGAGAAGCTTTTACCGACCCCTGAATCAAGACGCGATATAACTAACCAGATTGTTTTGTTTTCGAGTGGGAGTGGAATGTTTGGCTGTAACATTGCAAAGGAAGCAATCGATACTGTTTCACCTGGTAAGTGTGAAATCTACAAATTCACGAATTTAATTCCAAATTAATGATTAATCGACGAGTTAAATTCCATTTTCAGGCATTTGGTGGGAGCAATTTGGAGATGGTGCACCTATGCTGCAACGTGTGGCGATTCGAATACTCAGCCAAGTTTGCAGCACTTCAACTTTTCAGAGGCAGTGGAGCAACTTCCAACAGATCCATTCGGAGAAACGCAATAAGATCGATAAGGAAACATTAAATGACTTACTTTACATAAATTACAATCTCAAATTGGAAAAATCGTTGAAATCGAATTCTTCGGAAGTGGATCCTCTACAAGTCGATGACATAGACATGACTTCGGAGTGGGCGGAGGAGACTGAAAATCCGAGCCCTGTCCAGTGGCTTGACCGTTTTGGTTCTGTTTTGGATGGAGATTTAAATACGAGGCAGTTTAACGCTGCTATATTTGGTGCAAACGACAGTATTTTCAATTTGTAACTAGGCGTATATTGTGTATATGCATGCTGTATTACTAAGAAATGCTATTCAAGTTTTCTGTATATTTGTTGCATTTGCAACCCCACCTGTAAGAGAACCCCAATTTTTTTCAAGATAAAATAAAATTTGATTCACATCTTCGATAAGATGTACATATATAACGCTCTTACACAACACATCATGCAAATTTGTCATGTAGACGGAAGTCACGAAAGAAACGACAGCTAAGCATTCGAATCTAATATTCGCAACAGTGATTGATACATTCATTAAGAGCAATAAGATCGAAGAAAGTATATCCAGTGTTGAAATCAAGCACGCGCAAAGGAAATCGAAAAATCCCCTATACATTAATACAATATTATCACAAATACCTATTTTCGACTGGAACAAATTTTATCTTTACATCAATAGGAAGGAGAAACGTTCCGATACTGTTATTTCAGGATGTGGCGTTGAGGAAATGAGCCAATGCCTTGTCCGTATCATTGTCATACATGAATAAGGCTTCTGCAACATTGTTCGACGAGAATCCCATCTCTTGCAAAATATTATATCCATTTGCAAATTCCTTAACCTGCAAATATATGAACAAGCAAATAGATTATCCAGAGTTGCCAAATGCAGTGACTCTGTTTTCTTCTTTTCTACTATTGCAATCTTCAATTGCTACGAAAGTTGAAACCCTAAATCATCATTATAATTTATACATGCAGCATAAACGAGTAGGAGTACGATTCTCCGAGATAATCATCATTATTACCTTGGTGGGATTGTCTCCGTAATTTGCAACTGCAAGTCGCACAGCCTCTACGTGGAGACCTGTTGCTATATATTTGCTCACTATGGGATCTGCAGAAGGGCCCTGCATTCAAAAGCCAATTTATGCCACAACCAATCACGAAAGCAAGAACGATGCGTATTTAATTTAATGCATAACTATGTCTTTGGAAAAAAAACACGAGAGGAAAACTGGTCATAAACCGAAGTAGCAAGGAAGCAGTAGGGGAGCACAATCAATTTGGAATCGAGTTGATGACCGGAATAATCAATACAATCCATAATTTGCACCAAAAAATAAATAAACGCAGTAGCGCAATTTAATCGATGGAATACATACATATGAAGATGTTGATTCAGTTGCCTTTGGTGGTGGATTTTCGTTTACGATCCAGCCCAAGTTGGGCTTTTCCTTCACTAATTCAGTTAAAACATTCTTCTCAAACTCGAAATCAAAGTGGAAATTACTCCGCGGAATCTCTCCCGTTTGTGGGAACATCGGAGGCTACAAAATTTCGAATCAATCAACTTTGTAACAATAGAAATCCGGCTAAAATAACAAATACAAATTTCTCCAGCATCATCTATAAAAACATACCGGCGGCGTAATTCGATATTCTGGTTTGATAGCAATCCTAATCCCCATCCCAGCTGCGAATCAAATAACAATCAAAATCAGTTACAATCGGGAAAAGGAATACTGAATCAACAAAAAAATAGGAAAAATGAAGAGACGTACAAGTGGAGGGAGGTGGCGGAGCCTGGTGAAAGGGAGGGTTTCGGACGATCGAGGCGGAGGAGTGAGAACCAGCGCCGCTGATCTTCGGGTAGATTGACGGCGATTGACCGTACATCGGTTGAGCGGCGCCGGTCGATGACGCGGTGGGGGGAGGCCTACTGTATGACGGTACATTGGAATCGTAGGTGGAGCCAGTTCGTTTTCTGAAATCGTACTCCATTTTTAGGTTAACCGACGATACTTCGATCGGAGATTGACTATTTGTTGTTTTAAAAACGTGTAGATGTGGGTAAAGAAATAGCAAAAATTTGACGGAAAGAAGAGGTAATTTCATATAATTGTTTATTAAGTCCATCCTTCAAATAAATTCTTTGTGATAACCCCCTCAAATATTTTTTGTACCCAAAATGCCCCTCGATTCAATTAGAACGGTATCGATCCCATATCCCGTTCGGTGTACAATTGTTCCAATTGGTGTGGTGATGTTTACGGTTACTGCTTTGTTCGATTCACAAAGCATTTTGCAATTCTAGTTATAACAGCTCCGAAAATATCCGTTCCGCCGGTAATCCTTCCCTAGCAAAGTTAGTAGTCAGATCGAGTTTAGTTGTCACCCTTAGCACGTTTGGTCTAATCGTATAGTCGTATTAACTGGATTTGACTGCAAACGTGCTAAGGGTAAACTAAACCCTTAGCACGTTTGGTCTAGTCGTATAGTCGTATTAACTGGATTTGACTGCAAACGTGCTAAGGGTATTATAGTAGTATTAACTGGTTCTACATTTACCATTATTTTCTTGTTCTTCGACTAATTAATTTATATTATAAATGAGAAAATGCAAGGGGAAAAATAGAAATTAAAAATAATAAAAATAGGGGCATAAGCCTTAGAAACTAAGTGAGATGTGCAAACATAACATTCACCAGTCTAGTCACAACTATGTGGTTCCTAATGACTAAAACTCCTAGTAAGAGAATTCTAATTCTTCTCGGTGTTTTTGTATGGTAAATGACTGCGCCCGGAATTATAAAAAAAAATCGCCATAGTATGTGAACTGTGCAAGTATAATTGGTCAGTGTCGCTGCAAAGAATTGAAGAAACTCTTGTTGTGCCTAATAATCTTCGATAACAAGATCATACACCTGAACATATAGCTCCTGAAAACCAAAATTGATTAGTTCCGGTTAGATACTCGAAAGTGAATGAATAACAATATCAGAAATATTAGAGAGCATTCGGATTCAATATTAGAAATATTTGAGATCGATTGTCGAATGACGGGTCAAAATTCTCAAAAACCAACCTGAGGACCACGACGAGCAGCAAAATTTCCTCTCATCGATATGCTTAGCATCCACGCCAATGAACCATGACCCAACGCTGACATCATCATGCGCATAAGCACGAAGAATAGATCTGCCAAAACCATATGCAGAGGTCATCAATTTTGCTTCTTAGAATTGATTGAGACATTCTAAAGCTGGTCAAAGTAAGAAATTACCTGTTGATTGATATGAACTTAGCCAAAGCCTGTGATACCACAAACATCTCACCTGAAGCATGGCGGAAGTAACTACTTCACAAAAATGTAATTTGTTAAGTAAAGCGTTTCTTGAATTTGAAATAAAAGATAATAGTTCGTAAAGTGGAAGAAAAAAATATGCTCACTTTTTCCCATCCCCGAATTTCCACCAATCTGGTTCATACCATCTTTGGCCCCTATCGAGTTATAAGTAAAAAAAGTCAAGCCTCTTATATACCAGCAACTCATAATATGTATATATCGTATGAGATGCATATTTTCAAATTTAAAATTGCATCAAAGTTTGGGCAGACTCACTCTTCGGAGAAAACCTCTCCAGATTTCATGCACCCGATATAAACACGAGGCTTGTCCAAATGAGCAGCAAGTGTATTTCTGAAGGCATCTGGAGAGAAGATTTATGTGCGGTTTAGAGAAAACAGACAAGTGTTAGTTTTCAAATTACAATAATTACCAACTTTGCACGTACCAATATTTACATAGACATCATCATTGATTTTCGCGTAGTAGTCAGCATCCCAGTTTTCTGAAGCATGAGCAAAGAATAATTTTGTCTTGTTTGGTAGTTCCTCAGGTGCCTCTACATGTTTTTCCTGATGAAATTATTTTCAAGGGCAATTTTGTCAAAAAGTGTTCATTTCTCAAGCCATGAGATGATAGAAGGAAAAAACTTACAAGAATAAAAATATCGTTATTTTGTTTGTTTTCACTATCAATGCTCCTGTCCAAGCTGTCTCCTCGATTGGAACTGCAGATTACCGTAATATTAAAAAAAAACACTACCTTAGCTATCCACTGCATGTAAAAACTGAAAGAGAGAGAAAGCAGAAAAAAAAAAAAAAAAAAAGCGAACCTTCTGCCGATTACAAAGCGAATAATGACGCCCTTCTGTTCCTCCATCCTTTTCAAAGTTACACCTGTATATATGATGAAAAATACGACTTAGATATTATCAGAATGGTAAAAAATAGGGAGATGCAAGAAACAAATCAACATCATGGCAGATACAAAAATTTTAAAAAATCGGAATGAACAAATCCATTCAATGAAACAATTATTCTGTCCTTTAGCATGAAAATGATAATATACCAGTGCCCATCCATGCCTTCCGTATAGCATCTCTGTTGCTTTTACGAGCAAATCCTGTAAGTATTCCAATCACTACGAGTGGCCTCTTCTTAGGTGTTCTATTAGTCTCAGATAAATGCTTTGAAACAAAGCCCTCCTGTCTGGCAGCAGCAAGTTCCATCTCCAGGCCTGATAATGTTTTCTGCCGTTCCCTGACAGGCACAGCATTTCGGTAAACGTTGCATATAACACCACAATATGAAAGCAGTCCACTTCTATGAGAAAGTAAAGCAAGGAAAATCTTATCTCACCGGCACTCAAGGATTTTCCATGAATCATCAACTGACATTACAAATTTTTCCTGCATATAAAAAATGATATTTCACTCAAGAGTATTTTTAACGAAAACAGAAGTGGGTTCGAGAAGCTTAAAACCATGCACATGGCATGCAATGCTATATGAACACTTATTCTTTTCTGTAAGAATCAATAGCAATAGAAGAGGCTCTAAAGAGAAAATTCCAAATACTTCTGAGAAATAATATCAATCGATATTCTCTGTTTGATGTTTGATACATAGACAACTGAGGGGATATGCATTGTCAGCAATACAAGATAAAAACTTCTCTAAAATTCAATTGCTCCTAACATTACCATTTTACAGCATGCTTGAAAAGTAAAGATACGAATCCTTGTCAGTAATCTTGCAACTTGCCTAAAAAAATATACATACAGACTGCACAAAAGAAGAAGATACCTCGATTTACCTAGAACAAGGAGCCGAGAAATTCACGTCATATGAGATCAACAGTTTTCATTACTATAACTAGTAAAAGTAGTAATTCTCCAGAAAAAAAGAAAAAAAAAACCATAAAAATTATACCTGACCAGTTATTCTGTCAAGCTCTTTTGCTAAGTAAACCCTGTTCTCTGCGTCCTGCCACAATCTGCCATACCATATTAAAAAAAGAATCAAATTCAACACTTCTATTTTTCCCCGAGCCTTTTTACGCATATCGAAAGTTTGATAATTAGAATTATAAACTAACAAAATGCATTTTCCAATTTTATGATCTCTGAAGTTACACAAGTTCTTTTCCAAGAAAAAAAGAACATTTGGCGATCTCAGATGCATTTACATCAAAGGTAATTCATTGTTCTGATGAATCGTTTCTTCGGATGTCAATGTTCGATTAATCCACCTCCACCACTACGAAATCAATAAATTAAACAAGGATTCACATCTCAATGTAACCACTTGACACAGTAATAAATTTTAACCGATTGAATTTCAACAATTATACAATCAGAACTTAACAAACTCGACCAAAAAACAAGGAAATTCCAGAAAAAATAAACAAACACAAACACAAACAGCAAATAAATTGTAAAACTAAATAAATGAATAAAAACTAACCGTCCTGCAACGTATAAGGAAGCAAAAGCTGCGAACATGGACAGAAGGAGCGTTGACATTCGGGAACGAATCCCCATTCCTGTGAATCGGGTACTCGATCCCTTGCTCTGCATTTTGCTTTACCTTTCTAATTTTCACTACCTAAATTCCCATCCGATTCGAATACCGCGTCAAATTCAGCTGATCCGAAGAATAAATATACGAATTCCCAAAAACAGTGATCACCAACACATCAGTAATCACTTCGCCGTCGATTTGAAGTCTCGATTCAAAAAATTAAAACAAATATACAAAATGTAAAACAGTGGAGAGAGATTTCAGTTGAGCGTATGTATATGAAATTCAGCACCCAAAAATTGTTAACGAAACGGAAAATTTAGGAAATTCCCGAAGGAGTGTTTTAATTTAATTACTCGTAACGGGGTTGTAGGCTGAAGAAGGTGACAAGAGAGAATAAAATATAGATTAATTTATGAAGACGATGACAGGTAAGCTTTAGAACTGGCTTTTTTACACGATTGGGCTTAATTAAAAAAATTAAAAATAAAGCCCGAAAATTAATGAAATGGCCTAAGATAAGAGAACTGCGGGCCCGAACATAAAAGCCCAAAATAATTATGCAGATCAAATTATTTTGTTTAAAAAAAAATAAGAGAATAAGATATCACTGTGTTAAAAAGGCTTAGTTAAAAATGAGCGGGTTCCTTCACTACAAATAAAATAAAAATAAAAGTATCAAACTATATAATATTGAATTTCTTTTTTTTTTCAATTTGATAAGTAGTTTAATTAATTTATAAACGGCCATAAATATTCAATATTATTATACAATGAGCACAAGGAATAATAATTAGAATAATCCTAGCTAGTAGGTGCATGGACTGTGTATCCCCAGCCAAACAAACCTGTAGGCTGTATATAATCATGCAATCAATGTTATCTATATATATAATCAATAAGGCAATTTACTGACGACTGGGCAATTATATATTAGGGTTTTGTCGGGCCGTTTATATTAATTAAATCAATTATCATAATTAATTGGAACTAGATCTTAATTAGTTCCATTCTTAAGATAATATATTATATTACCAGATATCTATACGAATCTTAATTTGTTGCGTGTACGATAACTAGAAAGGGCCTGGATTATTGTTTTCGTACGTTTACTAGTTATTATATATGCATGCAAACCCAGGCCAGTTAGGGTTGTCATTATACGCAGATAACTATTTTTTTACTTTTAATAATTCCTTTATATATATATATATATATATATATTGTTAGAATCCGAGAGGATTCTATTTCGGTTTTTCAACACGTGTGCGAAAAACGTGTATAAAAACTAGGGAAGTTTCCTTAGTTCTTTAAACTCTTATTTTGTCATTAATTTATTTAATTGCCTAAGTGTTTTATTAACAAGGAATTTAATTGACTAAGACTTTCCTTGTTTTACACAACTCTCTTTTTCTTACGTGAGATAAAATAACCTAATGGGCTCCACTTTTGTGTAGGGCTCTACTAATCCACCTAAGGAAGTATAAGAAGGGCAGCATCAACGTTATTTTAGGTTGTCCCTTTTATTTGAGAGAAAATTTATTTTCTGCTCTTCACGTTGCTGCTCTTGTGTTTGATCGTAATCGAGAAGAAAAACAGAGTAACAGATTTGCTTCTTTCACGCGAAAAGAAGATCGGTTCTTCGGGAGGAGAACTCAGAAGATCTCGGGAGGAGGTCGACCCGCCGACTGAGGGACTCAGCGTTGAAGGAATTTCAACCGTGCGGATCAAGGGACGTGCTGCAAAGTGAAGATTGTTAATTCAGCGTAGTATACAAGAACGGCGTCGACAAAGAGGGAGTCTTTGCATTTCGATTAAGTCCTATTATTGTATTCGTAAAACTAAAAATTAGTAAATTTCATTTGCAGGTCCCCGTGGATGTAGGGTACAATTGTATCCGAACCACTTTAAAATTTGTGTCTTTTTATTACTGTTCCATTAACTGTTGCAACTCTTCGTAAAACAGTAGAACCGTATTTAAAACTGAATCTGGAATTCATCGGACACAAATATATAATTAATTTGCACGAAATAATTCTAACAATTGGCATCAAGAGCCTGTCACTAAATACATCTAGTGAGATTTTGGGAACTAACTATTCTTATTTTGTGCAGATATGAATACTCAACGAGAAGGATCGTCAACTACTCGCCCACCTCTCCTAATCGGATCAAACTACTCATCATATTGGAAATAAAAAATGAAGATGTTTATCAAATCCATAGA